CGCGCGGAAGGACATTTTGACAATTTTTTCTTAAAAAACCATTGGGTTTTTGATGTTTTTATGTTAAAATCGTTACGAAACCTAAGGTTTTGGAAGGATTTCGTCTTGCGCGCACGAATGTCCACTTTACCTTATTTTTTGCAAGGGATTCTTGCAATTTGATCAAGTAAGAACAAGAATTTTCATTTTATAGTGTTTTTTGCAAGGGAAAACGGACTACAACAAAACAACCGGATCCGGACTAATCCACTTTTCTGAAGCTTTCGCTAAAAAATGATGAAAATGTAGCTGCGGCCTAGGTTTTGGAGGGGGGTCGCGCACCAGGGGTCCCAACAATAATTATTCTTTAGAAGTAATAATGTTCAACAACAACAATTACTAGCACGTGGGGACACTCCGTTCTCACCAGTGCCAGGGTTTTCATAGGAGGCGGGCAATACCCCCACTTTGTGGGGGGGCCGGTTCAAGCTCTACCAAATTTCCAAACGACTCTTCGCCACCACCCACACCCAGCTTCCCGCCCTATGACGTTCGGACACTTCACTTCGTGGCATGCGGACGACCGTGGCTACTATTCAGGGCCCCGCGGCCGACGACGACGGCGTGCGCGCGCGAAGAAAAAACGAATGTGTCCCGCATGGTATTATTTGACAGGGATGATGGCCCTGGCAGGTGCGCAACCGTTGTTGCAGAAGTTCGAAAAAGTTGCTCGCAAAAGCCCGTTTGACAGAAATGTTTAAAAAGTGTTGGGTTTCCTACGAATCCGCAAGAGCGCGCGGGATGAAATTTTGACATTTTTTGTTTGAAAAACCATTGGTTTTTTGATGTTTTTATGTTAAAATCGCTACGAAAACTAAGGTTTTGGAAGGATTTCGTCTTGCGCGCGCGAATGTCCACTTTACCTTATTTTTTGCAAGGGATTCTTGAAGTTTGGTTATGTTAGAACAAGAAATGTCCACTTTAGCTTATTTTTTGCAAGGGAAAACCGATCGTAACAACACAACCGGATCCGGACTCCCCCGTTTTGCCTGAGACTTCCTCACGAAAATGATGAAAATGAGGCTGCGGCCTAGGCGCGGCGGGGGGGTCGTGCACCAGGGGCCCCAACAATAATTATTCTTTAGAAGTAATAATGTTCAACAACATCCACAACAACGACAACCACAACGACAACGACGACGACGACGACGACAACGACAACGACAACAACAACAACTATAAGAACAAGAACGTCAACAACAACAACAAAAACAACAACAACAACAACAACAACAACAACAACAACAACCACAACCACAACCACAACCACAACCACAACAACAACGGCAACAACAGCAACAACAACAACAACAGCAACAGCAAACGCAACAACAACGACAACCTCATCAATACATCGCCATATCACCACAACCACCTAATCAACACCACTCACAGCATCGTCAGAATCACCACCATCGTCAGCATCATCAGCATCACCACCAGCACCGTCCATCAAAACAGCCATCCGCATCGTCGTCATCATCATCAGCAGCAGCAGCATCATCACCATCAGCATCAGCATAATCGTCAACATCACCACCACCATCACCACCACCATATCATCGTCATCATCATCATCATCATCATCATCATCATCATCACCATCACCATCACCATCACCATCACCATCCCATTAGCATCAGCAGCAGCATCAGCATCATCGTCATCATCAGCAAAATCAGCATCAACATCGTCAGCATCATCATCCGCATCCTCATCCTCATCCCCGTCAGCATCAGCATCATCAATATCAGCACAGTCATGATAAGCATAGTCTACATCATCATTATCATCATCATGCTCATGATCATGATCGTCATCATGATCCTCAGCATCAGCAGCAGCATGAACATAATCATCCTCAGCATGATCATCATCATCATCATCATCAGCATCATCATCATGAGTTCATATCATCATCAACAGCACCATTAGCACTACCATCATCAGCATCATCAGCATCATCATCAGCATAGCATCATCGTCATCGTTATCGTCATATTCACAAAGATAATCATCAGCATCATAATCGGAATCACCGTCGGCAACATCATCAGCAGCATAGTCATCAAAATCAGCATCAGCATCTTCAATGTAACCTTCATCATCATCATCATCATCATCATCATCATCATCACCATCACCCTCACAGTCACCAGCATCACCACCATAAGCATAATCATCATCATCATCAGCAGCAGCAGCATCATCATCATAATCGTCAGCGTCGTCGTCATCAACAGCAGCATCAGCATCAGCATCAGCATCAGCATCAGCATCATCAACATTATCAGCATCATCATCATCAGCATCAGCATCATCATAGTCGTCGTGGTCATCGTCGTCGTCAGCATCATCATCATCATCAGCATCATCAACATCATCATCATCATCATCATCATCATCATCATCATCATCATCATCATCATCATCATCACTAGCATCCTCATCATCAGCAGCATCATCATGATTATCATCCTCGTCGCCATCAACAGAATCGTCATCACCAGCATCATCATCATCATAATCATAATCATAATCCGCCGCCCCCTTGTGGGGCCACCAGGCAGTAGGGCTAAGGTTCGTACCAGTTGCAGTTTCCAGTTTCCACTGTTACAGTTCTGCTTCTTGCTGCTTACTGAGGCCCAAAACGGGCATTTTACCACGCCCTGGGGGGGTTCTCAGAATTTCTGGGAGGCTAAAACTTGCCATCCCTCACGCAGATCCGCAGGGTCAGGGTCCAAAAACACACCACATGTTTGAAATTTGCCGGCACTCCTCACGCAGATCGGCGGGCTCAGGGTCCAAAAACATGAGGGATTTGCCACATTTCTGAAATTTGCTGGCACCCCTCACGCAGATCGGCGGGCTCAGGGTCCAAAAACATAAGGGATTTGCCACATTTCTGAAATTTGCTGGCACCCCTCACGCAGATCGGCGGGGTCAGGGTCCCAAAACACAAGGGATTTGCCACATTTCTGAAATTCGGCGGCACCCCTCACGCAGATCCGCAGGGTCAGGGTCCAAAAACAAAAGGGATTTACCACTTTTCTAGATTCGGCGGCACCCGTGACGCAGATCCGTAGGGTCAGGGTCCAAAAACACAATGGGATTTGCTACATTTCTGAAATTCGGCGGCACCCCTCACGCAGATCGGCGGGCTCAGGGTCCAAAAACACAGGGGATGTGCCACATGTCTGAAATTTGCTCTCACCCCTTACGCAGATCCGTAGGCTCAGGGTCCAAAAACACAAGGGATTTACCACATTTCTGAAATTCGGTGGCCGTAGGTCAGGGTCGAAAAACAAACAGGTCCCGACACTGCTTCACGGCGGCGCCCAGACCTCATGATTTAGCTTTTGCATCTCCCATTATCCGAGACAGGGGGCCGGCGGCATGGGGCGAAGCCCTTACCGAGAATCATCATCATCATCATCATCATCATCATCATCATCATCAGCAGCATCATCATCATCATCATCATCATCATCATCATCATCATCAGCATCATCATCATCGTCATCATCATCATCTTCATAATCCTCATCATCATCATCATCATCATCATCATCATCATCATCATCATAATCACCATCTCATCATATCATCATCATCATCGTCATCATCATCATCAAGGTCCTCCTCATTAGCGTAATCTCCATCATCATCATCATCATCATCATCATCAGAATCATCACCACCATCAGCATCAACATAATCAAAATCAGCAGCAGCATCAGTACCTGTCATCATCATGTGCATCATCGTCATCATCATCAGCAGCCGCATCGGCATCAGCATCCATATCATCATCAACCAGCATCGTCATCATCACCACTACCACCATCGTCAGAATAACCACCAGCACCGTCGTCACCAATCACCACCAGCATCACTCATCATCACCATCACCATCATAATTCGAAGACCACCACCATCACCAGCATGACCGTCAGCATCAGCAGCACCACCATCACCATTATCGTCATTATCACCAACATCCACATCATCATCCTCAGCAGCAGCATCATCATCGTCATCACCATCATCATCATTATCATCATCAGCAGCAGCAGCAGTCTGCGGCCGGTGGGGCCCGTGAGACCTGCGACACCTGTGGGTCCTGTGGGACCTGAGGGGCCTACGTGGGACTGCGGGACGACCTGCGACACCTGTGGGACCTGTGGGACCTGCGGGACGTGTCGGACCTGTGGACCCTGTGGGACCTACGAGACGTGCGACACCTGCGGAACCTGTGGGAACTGTGGGGCGACCTGCAAAACATGTGGGTCCTGTGGGACCAGTGGGACCTGTGGAGCCTGCGAGACCTGCGAGACCTGTGGGACCTGCGAGACCAGTGGGACCTAGAAAAGTGGCCCACGCTGGGGCGAGAGCGCCTTCCTGAACGACGGGAGCAAAGCACCGATCAGAAAATGAGGGCACGTTGCAGCGGGAGCACCATTTTGAAGAGAATATATATATATATATAAAAAATATAAATACAAAAAAAAAAAAAAAAAAAAAAAAAAAAAAAAAAAAAAAAAAAAAAAAAAAAAAAAAAAAAAAAAAAAAAAAAAAAAAAAAAAGTCGAGTTGGGGGAGACAACAAAAAACATAAGACATACCGCCTTCTGAGAACCCGTGTAATAAATACGCTGAGATGGCGGGGTGCCTCCCGTACATAGTCAGGGGAGAGGTGTAAGGGGGAGGGGAAGCGAGGGATGAGAGGGAGGGGAAGAGGGGGAGGAGGATGGACGGAGAGGGGGAAGGAGAAGAGGAGGGAGATGGCAAGGGGAGGGAGATCCTGAGGGGGGGCAGGGCAGGGGAAAGGGCGTTCCCCTTATCCTCCTCATTCTCCTCCTCATCCACATCCTCATCCTCCTCCTTTTCCTCCTCCTCCTCCTGCTCCTCCTCCTCCTCCTTCTCCTCCTCCTCCTCCCATTTCGTCACTGCGCCCGCGTCCTTATACTTATTCGCCTTCGCCTGGATCCACGTGAGGTGGGTGAAAAAAGGCATGACCTTGATGGCGTGGCAGCGAAGAGCGGCGGGAGGACGTGGAGGTAGAGCGGCGAAGAGGAGAAGGAGGAGGATGAGGAGGAACAGGAAGAGGAATAGGAGGAGGAAAAGGAAGAGGCGGAGGAGGAGGAGGAGGAGCAGGAGGAGTGACCCGGAGTAGGCATGACGAGGAGGTGGGCAGCACGAGGGGTGGAGGAGGAGGAGCGACGAGGGCGTGGGAAGGGGTGACGTGGAGGAGCGGCGAGGACCCGAAGGAGTGGGCGAAGAGGCAACGAGGAGTTTGGACTGGCGGGCGGTGCCGAACGAAGAGGAAGGGGAAGGCGGAGAGCTCGAAGAGAGACACGGTAGGCATATGTGCGGAAAAATCCACCACGTAGGGCCCCCGCGGCCCTCCTTCTCTCTCCTTTTCCTGCTCCTCCTCCTCCTCCTCCTCCTCCTCCTCCTCCTCCTGCTCCTCCTCCTCCTCCTCTCCTCCGCCTCCTCCTCCCCCGCCTGCTCCTCCTCCTCCTCCTCCTCCTGTTCCTCCTCCTCCTCCTCCTCCTCCTCCTCCTCCTCCTCCTCCTCCTCCTCCTCTGCTCCTCCACACCCTCCTCCTCTTCGCGGAGGCGTGGCTTCCGTTCGAGTTGGACGGCCGCTGAGCGCCGCGCGCGGCATGCGCGGGCACAGGGCCGCGCGGCCCTCCACCTCATGAAGGCCTTCGCCGAGATCGAAAGCCACCGCGGCCAGGTGCTGGCCTTCCTTGGCATGGCCCTGCGGAAGGCGCTCGCTGGCGATCCGCATGGAGGGCCTGCTGCTGCGGATGTCCGTGCTGGACCTGAAGTTCGTCCGCCCCGCGGTGCAGGGAAAGCACGAGCGCAGCGACATCAAGATGCTCAGAGTGACGACGAGTGGTAAGCACCAGCTGTACAGTAAGCAGCTGGCCATGGCGTTCGTCGGGTTCGTCATGATGTTCGCGCGGGATGCAATGGTGGCAATGCCCGTCGGCCTGGTGCGGTCGCTGGCGTCAGGCATGGTGACGCTCCTGTCCCTCAAGATGATCTTCGTGCGGGGGATGTGGTGGTTGCTCCTGATGATCTTAGCGACATGGTTTCTCCGAGGCCCTTCGAGCCTCCTCGGATGACACTCAGTGGTCATGGTGTTGCAAATATTGGTTGAGCGGATCTCGTCCATCATGGCCGTGCTGTTGGCTCCGCCCCTAGCGTCGCCCTCGGGCCGCAAGAAGATCTTCGACGCGATGCTGGAGGTGCTGATCTGCGAGCCGATCATGGTGAGAACGGTGGAGTCGGAGCTGCGGCTGTCGTGCGGCCCCTGCGGGGCGCCCCGCCGCCCATTGCAGGGCCGAGGCCGCCGAGGGAGGCCATGGAGATGGCGAGGGCAGAGACGCCGCGGCTGCATCGACGCCCGCCTGAGGCCGGGGCCGAGGTCGTCGCGCCCGCCGCCGCCCTGGCGGTCGCCTCCCGTCGTGTGTTTGTTCTTGGCGTGCTCACTCACTCACTCGTGGCGGACGGTAGGTTCTCCTTGCTGCCACCTTTCCTGCCCCGTCCCACGGCTTAACCCCGTGGGGCGTGGCGTGCTCGCTGGCGATCCTCGTGGTGCCGCGGCCGACGGCGCCCTCGGCGCCTCGACTCCCCTCGCCTTCGGTGCGCAGCTGCTGGGCGGCACAGCGCCGGCCCCGGCGACGGCGGGCCTGGCGCTGGGCAGGCGCGCGTCCGGCGCCGCCGGGGGGACTCTTCGAGCTGCTGCACGCGACGTTCGTCGGCCTCGCCGCTCTGCTTGACGCCAGCGCCGCGCTCTTCGCGATGCCCGTGGCGCTGGGGCGTCCTCGGCGTGAAGCTGGAGAGGACGCCCAGCGGCGCGCGCGGCGGCGCGCCGCGCGTCAGTCCCTGCGGTAGGAGAGACCCGCGCTGCCAACCTCGAGTCCTCGAGTCCTCCTCCTCGCTCCCTCCTCCTGCTCGTCATCCTCTCTCCCTCCCCCTGAGTTTGCCTGACCTACTGGTCACTGACTGCCCCCACAGGGTGTGCGCTCCCCCTCGCTACCTCATGACGATAGCAATCAACGCTACTCCTCATGTTCCTCCTCCTCCTCCTCCTCGTCCTCCTCCTCCGCCTCACCATCCGTCCTCCCGATTCCATGAATTGGCGAGGATGCGCGGCGG